ACCCAAAGGTAGTAGAAAAGGGTATTTTTCTGTAAATGTGCAAGCAATAAAAGTGCCTGACAAGGAAATATTTGATATAGTGACTCTCGACAGCAGGATAGTTAGAAAATGCCAGGCGTATGCAAAACTGCTAAATGGTGAACTAGAAGGAGTTTTAGTAGGTGACAGCGGTTATCCAGCAATTAACTTCATGTTATCACCACTTTTAAATCCAATGACAAGAGCTGACAATAATTATAATTATTCTCAAATAAGATCTAAGAGTATTCTCAAAGAAGAGTAATTATGTTGAAAGGTTTTTCGGAGTGAGGAAAAGGAAATTTCCATGTTTGCAGCTAGGACTACAGTCAAAATTGACAAATACTAGTAATATAATTATAGCTTGTGCTGTATTGCATAATATAGGTATACAGAAAGGGGATGTTTATGACGATGGTGATCTTGCTGATCAGACACCAGAAGTTAAAGAATACAGAAACAACGAAAGATCTTCTACAATTCTAGCACTCCGGCAATCTGTGATCGCACAATTTAACTAGGTAATTGGTTTGGTAATAAAGAATATAAAAACAAAACTTGTTTCATTTGAAACATTTATTTTCTGATTCTTATTTTAACTGTAAAATTTCTAATTATAATTTATATTTTTGTTGAAGGAATTCTATTTCTAACTGATTTTTTAATTTCATATGTTCCACTTCTAGTTTCAGGTGGTCAGGTAATAAAAGGTAGAAGATTCAGGCAAACGAAAATAACAGATGTGAAGCCAGAGACAAAGTCGGTTTGGTTGTCGGATGAACATATATAAAATGGAGCGTCAGAATTTACGTGAAGTTGACTAATTATTTTGATACCCTTAAAGCGTCTGTCAAGCAATATGGCCGACGGAAAGTGTCTGGGAGTATTGACAATTTATTTTTAACTATACACTCGAAAACATATATAAAAATCAGCCATGAGAATTTACGTGAAGTAAATAATGTTTTTGTGTACCTTGATTACCTGATACCTGGAAATTGGCCGTTTGACCAGGCTAGCAGGTAGGCATACGATCATAGTACATACAAGTCGTCGGAAATATCTGCGAACCCTGGCTTAATGACGTCATACAAACTGGAGAGATAGCAAAAAAATTGAAGATGTAAAAATAAAAAATATTTTATTTGTGTACTTATTTTTATTGATACTCGTACCTACCCATCTTACATACAGCACTAAATAGGTAGTTTATGTAATATTTCACCAAACAGAGAAACAATAAACACTAAAATGCGATTACGAAAGCAAGAATAATACACGTGCGGCGTCGGCGATTGCGTTGGCAACGGTACTGGATAGGCGAAAACGGGGCGGGGTGCGGGGGCGCCAGGGGAAGCGCATTCCAGCGAGGTTCGCAGATATTTCCGACGGCTTGTACTAACACTACCCAATCGTCCACATTTCATCCGTCAGAAAATACGTGACGTCTGGCGGCCCTGGGACCTTGCTCTATTATAGTTTGAATTTCGTTGTCAACTATAAATATAAAATAATATGCCAGGGCTGCCAAGTGACATACGATATCACACCAGTTATATTTAAGATCTCTCAAAAATGGGGTTTGAACACTTATATAAATAATATAAATAAACAACAATAATGTGTAATTATTTCATTTCATGTATTTCATAGGTATTTATTAAGATCATTTATCTTTTCTTTGAATTCAAATCCTATTTTTCCCTAAGTCCAGTATGAGATGGCATCACCGTTAATTAAAAACCGACAAAAATAAAAAGTTAAGTAAAAGATATGTTGGTAAAGCAAATTTTGGACCATTATTTTTGTTAGGCTTATAGTCCAAGTTTTTGGTAAGTCGTCGATTTCGTGGACTTGAGATTAAGCAAAGCTAACACTCAGAGAGATTCGCAGTTTGCTCTATAAATACCGACTGTGGCTTAATTCGAAAGTTAAGTCTTTGCAAAGTCTAAGTGCGCTCTATAGATCTTGCCCTTAGACACCTCTGGATTTCTCTCTTTAACTTGACTATATTCTTATTCCACCATTAAACACCATAATAATAAATAAAATCATGTCGATTTTTTTATGGCTCTGGCACGATTTGTGCAGTAGCCAGCGTCAAGTATAGGATTTTTATAATTCGTGCTAGTCTTTAGAAATTCAAATTTAAATTAAATTAAAACTTTCCCTCGAACCGGGAATCGAACCCGGTACCCCTCACCTAGCTGCCGACCGCTAGGCTATGTCGAATTGATAACCTCTTGGTTTTGAAAGTCGGTTAAAAAGTCAATCATATATTTCTAATTACTCTATTGTGTTACATTAATACCAACTCGTCAAGGTTAGTAAACTAAGTTTTTATACAAAATTTTAAATTAAACCGAAGGTAATTCAACGTGAGATTTTTTTTTAAAACAAGTTGTATATGTTATAGATAACCTACTACAAAAAAATGAAAAACTTTATTTATTACGTTAAGTCGTCAAACGAGATTACGTTAAGTCGTTAATACAGAATGTGTAGAGTACACGCCGCTATGAAGCCATAATCACGCGTCGATGGGATGATGCATGTTTATACATTTTTTATTTGGGAAATTAATCTCGCTGTTGCCAAAGGGCCCTGACAGCTAAGCTCGGGCTGTTTTCAGCCGACACGGGTTTTTCCCGGGACCTCGGGTTTGGGCCGCCGCGGGGTCGTCATTCGCCTGAAGTGCAAGACAGCAGCTCACTGGAGTGAGCGAAGTACGTAGTAAAGAATCCCTGTGAAGAAGGCGCGGTTCAAAAGTCTTTATAACATCGACGTGGCCTGCGAGGAACACGCGAAACTAGAGCTCGGCGGAAAATCATCAACGATACTAAGTTAATTAAACACGTATTGTTTGTTTAACATTTGTATGAATAATGTGTGTTGTTGATAAACTCATTTTTATATTAAAAATGTACTTCGATTGATCGAGTAATGAATCTATTTAATTGAACACGCAATGTAAAAAAAAAACTAGCCCAGACATGTAGCACTTTACGCCTGAAATAGTTCAAAGCAATATATATCTACATATTTTTAGGTTTAGCTGGATACTTCTGGCGTTAGTTATATTGAAGGTTACGCGACAAAGACCGCATGTACATCGCGTCTCACTAAGAAAGACGTCAAATTTGAATGGGGACCCGAAAAAGATCGAGTCCGACGAGAGCTCTTAAAGCAATTGTCTAGCGAGCCTATACTTGCGATTTTTGACCCGAGCCTTTCCACTGTGTAGTTCACACACTGACGCTAGCAGTGCAGGATATGGTGCCGTGCTCGTGCAGGCCCACACGGATGGTAATAAACGAGTAGTAGCATATTTTAGTAGGGTCACCCAGGGCGCGGAGCCCAAGTACCATTCATATTATGAATTAGAAACGTTGGCGGTCGTCAAGGATCAGCAACATTTTCGGCATTACCTGGTTGGTACAGGTTTTAAGATAATCACCGATTGCAATGCCTTGAAGGCCACTGAATGTAAGAAGCATTTTCTTCCACGAGTTGCACGGTGGTGGATTTACCTGCAGGACTTTAATTTTGAAATTCAATATCGTAAAAGTACCATGATGGGTCATGCGGATTAATAATAATAAATAATAAAAGCCCTTTATTCACTGACCATTTTAACTTACATGCTATTCTTATTTAACAGTAGCATTCTTAAATCTAATTTACATAGCGAAATAATAATTATTTATTAGCAACCACTTTGGTCAGGTTGTCTGTCGACATAGGCCTCCCCCAATCGTTTCCACATCTCTCTATCCTTGGCAGACCTTCTCCATCCTTTTGGCAGATCGTCCTCCCATCTTTTAACTTGACCTCCTCGTTTTCTTTTCCCGTTTCTCGGATACCACTCTATTACATCCTTAGTCCATTTTTCTTTGTTAGTCCTCATTATAATATGTCCAATCCAGTTCCATTTAAGCTTTCTTGTTTTTTGTAGCACGTCACTGACGTTTGTTTTTTTTCTTATTTTTGAAGCTGTCCATAGATCTGGTAGTCTTATATTAAGCATGCTCCTTTCCATGCTGCGTTGACAAACTACTAGCTTTTGATTGTTTTTGCTCGTCGTAGGCCAAGTTTGACATCCATAAGTAAGACATGGTAAAATACAAGTGTTATATAATTTGGTTTTTATTGCCATGGGAATTGTTTTATTCTTAACTATTTCTTTTAGAGACCAGTACCGTTTCCAAGTGTTGCATATTCTTCTATCTATTTCATTAGAATACTGGTCTTTTATTGAAATAAGTTGTCCTAAATAAATATATTCATCTACATATTCTATATTTTCTTGTCCTATTACTATATTTTCTTTTATTGCATTCGTCATTACTTTAGTCTTCGTTGGGTTCATTGATAAACCTGCTTTCCTGCTTTCATCATCTAATTGTTGTAACATAGTTTGTAGTATGCTTGGTTTATCAGCGAAAACTACTATGTCGTCGGCAAATCTTAAATGATTAAGGTTCAATCCATTAATACTAATTACAAAATGCTCCCAGCCTAAGTTCCTGAATATATTTTCTAACACTGCTGTGAAGAGTTTTGGGGAAAGTGGATCGCCTTGCCTAACGCCCTTTTGAACTCTAAATTCTTCGCCTTGTTGTTCAAGTTGGACTGTTGCTGTGGTGTTTTTGTAAATTTCTTTTATGATTTTTATGTATTTTCTTTCTACTCCTTGATTTTCTAGCGTTTTCCAGATATTGGTATGACTCAGCGAATCAAAAGCCTTATTGTAATTGATGAATGCCATATAATACAATTGCCCGTATTCATTGAGCTTTTCAATTACTTGCTTCACAACAAAAATATGGTCGATGGTAGAATAATCGGCGCGAAACCCAGCTTGCTCCCTCGGTTGGTTTTCTTCCAGGTGTTTTGATATTCGCCGGAGTATTATTTTAGAAAACATTTTGTATAGATTGGACATCAGGCTTATTGGTCTATAATTATTTATTTCATTTTTGTCACCTTTTTTGTGTAGTACCTAGGATGATGGTTGATTTCGTCCATTGAATGGGTATTTGTTCAGTTTCTATTATTTCATTAAAAAGAAGAGTCACATATTTGGTTATCGCGGGTAGAGCCTGTTTAAGTAGTTCGTTAGATATTTTATCATCTCCAGGAGCTTTTCCACTTTTTTGTGATTTTATAGCCTGTGTGACCTCAGATTCTAGTATACAAGGTATTTCTTCTGCTTCGTAAGCTTCTTTTTCTTCTTCTTCTGACGTTGTTCTGTCTGTCTCCGTGTATAAGTTTTTGTAAAAATCTGTCGCTACTTTCGCTATTGATAGTCTATTTGTTGTAATGGTATCTTCTTTCCCCTTGTGTTTAGTTTTCATGTTGGGTATCCATTGTGTATATTCTTTTAACTGTTTTAGACCTCTTTTAATTCCGCCTGTTTTTTCTATTTGTTCTTTCAAAATATCTAGTCTTCCTGCTTTTTTATGTTTTCTTATCGATTCTTGAATTTTCTTACTAATATTTGCAATATTTTGTTTATTATCTTTTCGTTTGTATAACATTTCCTCTTTCATCAATTTTAATGTTTCTTCTCCAAACTCATTTTTCACACTCGATTTGTTTATATTTATAAGTTCTATTTTCAAAAAATTATACTTCTCTTGCAATGTTTGAGAATCTTTCATTCCATTTAATGTTGTCTCTAGATCATTCAATATATTTTGTGGTATTGGGGATGTTATTGTTTTGTTCATGGTTGAGTGTATAATATGTTTTCTTGATTTGTTGTTCCTGTCTTGAATAACTCCTCTTACCATTCTATGATCTGTATTAAAATTGAACTTATTAAGTACTTCAATGTCATTAAATATATGTTTTTCTCTCGTAAGTATAAAATCAATTTCATTTCTATCTATGCCATTTGGCGCTAACCATGTCCACTTTCTCGACTTTCGTTTTTTGAAGAAACTATTCATTATTTTAAAATTGTAAGCCAAAGAAAAATCTATTAGCCTTTGTCCGTTGTCATTTCTGTCACCATTACAGTACTCTCCTAAGACAAATTCATCTTTGTTTGATTTCCTACCAACCTTAGCGTTGAAGTCTCCCATGATAATTATGTTCTTCTTTTGCGTTAATTCTGTCATGTCTTTATAAAATGTATCTTTTGTTAATTTTTCATCTTGTTCTGTGGGTGCATGTACTTGAATAATGGACCATGGTTGTTTAGATTCACTTAATTGAATATTGAGAACGGCGATTCTATCTGATATTCCTTGGAATTTAATTATTTTATCTTTTAAATATTTCTTTAGTAGAAATCCCATTCCATATATCCCTTTTTGTTTTCCATAAGAATAAAAAATGTATTTCTCGTATTCTCTTATCTCTTCTCCTATTCTTCTTACTTCACAAAGACCTATGACATCCCATTTTATAGGTGCTATAGCTTCATCCAATTCTTGTAGTCTGTTGTCCGACATTAACGTTCTAACGTTTAACGTTGCGACGTCTTATTGTAGTTTCTGTTTTGATATAGGGATGTATTTCTATTTCTATGGGGGGGTGGTGGTTGTGCAACCCCACGGGGACCAGCCGGATTGGGGTTGTTCTCTGGTTGCTAATGTGTAGTTGCTACTTAGAGTTCTTTGAAATATTAGTAATTGAGCTTTACCTTGGTCTCATCAAATCAAATGCGTTTTTCTTATTTTCCTTTATTATTGAACTGCTGGTTACTGTTGTCTTTTTGGCTTGATTCTGATTATCCGGCGAAGTTAATTGGTCTCTCTTCCTTTTTTCTTTGATTGGGTTCCCCTCTTTTACTATCAGTTGATCGTATTTAATGTATGCAGTGTTTCCTTTCGCACGTTCTTCTATTAGTTTCGGCTTTAATTCCCTTCTTTTTTCAAGTATCTCTTTAGAAAAATCTTTAGTGATGTAACTGTCTTTCAGGCTCCGTTTCATTTTTATTATCTCACTTTTCTTCCAGTTGTTTGCAAAACTAATGAGGACCGGTTTTATTTTATTCTCTTTAATTCGACCGATGCGGTGCATTTTTGATACATCGCTAGCTTCTAATGTAATATTTAAATATTGTTTAAAAGTTTCTTGGACTCTGTGGAGCAATTCAGAAGGAGAATCCCCTTTCTTATCCAAACCAAAATACAGGACGTTGTTCCTCTTTTTTTCCTTTTCGAAATACAATTTTCTTTTCTAATATTTCTATTTTATTTTTCAAAATTTTGTTTTCATTTATTAGTGGTTCTAGTCCTTTGTCCATTTTTTCGAATATAATATTTGTTTGCTTTTCCATCTCTATTTTCATTTGGTCGAAAAGTAGTTTGAATTGTCCCTCCATTTCTTTGTGGTTTCTTCACTGGCAACACTGACGCGTATTTGACGTTTGATTTTATTGTTAATCTGTTCTATGACGTACGTCGGCACTTCCGTCGAACGTATGTCAATGCAATAGGTATTATAACCTCGAATACTGGAGTATAAAATTATGTAAATAAAAGCGTATTTACTTCTAACTTCACAGTGTCTATTTCCCAAGATGTTCGGCGTCACTTGATTTTTACGTTTATTGCAGCAGATGATGATAACTTGTGATTTCCAATTATTTTCGGCGGACGAATTTAAAGGTGATGTTTCTTCTGACAACCAGAGATCACTTCTTTCCACACACTGGAATCCACTAGCGTTGCAAATCAATAACATAGAACGGCCCTTGAACTGGGCGCAGATGGCTCAATCAGCCGACTCTGAGACCGCCGATCTCATACGTAAGCTCGGAGAAGGTAATTTAGATCCCAGACGATACGTATGTCAAAACGATGTGCTCTATTATCGTTATTCACCCGTTTGGTGAGGAGCCGCGTTTGCTTTGTTATGTACCTAAGGGTCACAGGCTTAGCTTACTGAGGGTATTCCATGACGAGCATGAACATATCGGGGTTGACAAGACTTGTGACCTAATTTTAAAACACTTTTGGTTTCCCGGTTTAATGCAATTTGTTCGTAAGTATGGACGCAAATTCATATAATGATTATATTGTTACAAAAATATAAAGATTGATATTTCATTCAAGTATATAAAAAATATATTTAAGATAATAATAAACAATATTAAGAATTGATAGTCTATGGTAAATTCATAGCATTTATTATTCATGTTTAAGGAATTGTCATTCATCATCATTTCGTAATATCGGGGTCAAATTAGTTGAAAACCGTTATATGGTTTATTTTATTTACCAATATTAATGGATCTGCAACTTAACGACTATTTGATAGTCTGTAGTCTTTATAATTAATATTGAAGAAATTATGTTAGTGTCAGCTGTCATTGTCATTGTCATTTAATAATGTCGAATTGGTTCGAGGCCGTTAATACGAATGGTTTATTTAATTTGTCAATGTTGCTTGATCTATAAATTAACGACTATTCAATGGTCGATAATAAAAATGACCTCATAGTCATTATTATTATTATTGAAAGTAGTATATATATCACTTTAAACATTTAAAACTTATTAATAATAAATATTAAAAAATCTTTGACACTCGTTTCTATGACTGCCGTTTGACTCTGTGGTCGATTCGGGTTCGGTCGTGGAACGAGTAGGTACACGTAATCTCACGAAACTTGTTTATTACAAATTCATCAAGAAGAAATCACAGTGGGTGGTTTCGATCCCCACCCGCCTTCTATAAAAGAAAGGCCTCAGTGTGCCACGGGCTCTGTTGTTGCTCGGACGTTGACAAGAAAAGTGGCTGGTGTCGAGGCCGCATACTGTGAGTACGTTTTGTGTTATTTTTATGCGGTGATTTTTGTGTAATTGTTTTAAGGTTTACGGTTGTTTTTAAAATACCCAAAGTCGTGTTGTTTTGATTGTATAAGTAAATTTTAAGGTAGATTTAGTGTGATTTCGAGAATACCGTGATTTGTTCTTTAATGAAGTTATTTTTGGTTTAATCACTTCGTAGGTTTTTTTTAATTGTTTTTTTTATATTTGATTATCACTTCTGGTTGCTAAAATCAGAAGTGGGATAGGATTTCGCTCACAAATAAGCCTTTTAAACAACCGTTAATTTTAGAATAAGTCGCCACGTGCTACCCGTGACCGGTCAATTAGGACGCCGTCACCTCGCTCTCATATTTAGGGTAGCCGTCAAAAGCTGTTTCTAATGTGTTATTTCCTTATGTTAAAGATGCGCGCGTGATATGTTGGCTTGCGTGCGGTGTGAGGCAAGTGTGTGCCTTGCTGGTTGAAACGGACTGCCAATGTGGTGCGGTCATTCTGTGTTCCTGAGGCCAGCAACCTTGAGAAGCGGGCCTCGGCAGACGTGCATCCTGTTCGCGTGGCGGGCGCTGTCCCGGAAGATGTGTTTTTTGAACACATCAGGCGCAGTCCTGGTTCACGTTACTAACGTGGGAACTTGTACAAGTTCAAGTATGTGAATGTGTAAAGTTGTGGTAGTGTGATTTTGTATGAGGGCCTTGGATGCGTGATGTATGATAGACTAGGCACTAACGAAATGTCGTCGTGATTAACTAACAGTATAACTTTTGCACAGATTGCGATGACGAATACCCTGATGACGTTGGTGAGCCTTCAGCTGCGTGTACTGATCCTTCAGCTTCCTCAAGAACACACGAACCACATATTGGTGACTATGGCGAGCAAGATGCCGTTCTCCTGAAGAAGAGATCACCATTGCATCCGAGGACGGTGCACGGTCAGGAAGAGGCCGTATAAGCATGTATGTAGTATTTTAATTGTATTTTTTTTTAATTTTAAATTTCTATTTAAAAATTTTTTTTGGAAACTTATGTTTACATTAATTGTCACACATTTCAGATGTAAGATTTTGTAAAATAATTCGTAGATTTTGTACTGTGTGTGATGTTGTAAGCTTAATAACTAAATAAATAAAACAATATATTTTGCAGAAATCATAGAGGGTGGTTTCGATCCCCACCCGCCTTCTATAGAAGAAAGGCCTCAGTGTGCCATGGGCTCTGTTGTTGCTCGGACGTTGACAAGAAAAGTGGCTGGTGTCGAGGCCGCATACTGTGAGTACGTTTTGTGTTATTTTTATGCGGCGATTTTTGTGTAATTGTTTTAAGGTTAACGGTTGTTTTTAAAATACCCAAAGTCGTGTTGTTTTGATTGTATAAGTAAATTTTAAGGTAGATTTAGTGTGATTTCGAGAATACCGTGATTTGTTCTTTAATGAAGTTATTTTTGGTTTAATCACTTCGTAGGTTTTTTTTAATTGTTTTTTTTATATTTGATTATCACTTCTGGTTGCTAAAATCAGAAGTGGGATAGGATTTCGCTCACAAATAAGCCTTTTAAACAACCGTTAATTTTAGAATAAGTCGCCACGTGCTACCCGTGACCGGTCAATTAGGACGCCGTCACCTCGCTCTCATATTTAGGGTAGCCGTCAAAAGCTGTTTCTAATGTGTTATTTCCTTATGTTAAAGATGCGCGCGTGATATGTTGGCTTGCGTGCGGTGTGAGGCAAGTGTGTGCCTTGCTGGTTGAAACGGACTGCCAATGTGGTGCGGTCATTCTGTGTTCCTGAGGCCAGCAACCTTGAGAAGCGGGCCTCGGCAGACGTGCATCCTGTGCGCGTGGCGGGCGCTGTCCCGGAAGATGTGTTTTTTGAACACATCAGGCGCAGTCCTGGTTCACGTTACTAACGTGGGAACTTGTACAAGTTCAAGTATGTGAATGTGTAAAGTTGTGGTAGTGTGATTTTGTATGAGGGCCTTGGATGCGTGATGTATGATACACTAGGCACTAACGAAATGTCGTCGTGATTAACTAACAGTATAACTTTTGCACAGATTGCGATGACGAATACCCTGATGACGTTGGTGAGCCTTCAGCTGCGTGTACTGATCCTTCAGCTTCCTCAAGAACACACGAACCACATATTGGTGACCATGGCGAGCAAGATGCCGTTTTACCGAAGAAGAGATCACCATTGCATCCGAGGACGGTGCACGGTCGGAAGAGGCCGTATAAGTATGTATGTAAGTATTTTAATTGTATTTTTTTTTAAATTTTAAATTTCTATTTAAAAAATTTTTTGTGAAACTTATGTTTACATTAATTGTCACACATTTCAGATGTAAGATTTTGTAAAATAATTCGTAGATTTTGTACTGTGTGTGATGTTGTAAGCTTAATAACTAAATAAATAAAACAATATATTTTGCAGAAATCATAGAGGGTGGTTTCGATCCCCACCCGCCTTCTATAAAAGAAAGGCCTCAGTGTGCCACGGGCTCTGTTGTTGCTCGGACGTTGACAAGAAAAGTGGTTGGTGTCGAGGCCGCATACTGTGAGTACGTTTTGTGTTATTTTTATTCGGTGATTTTTGTGTTATTGTTTTAAGGTTAACGGTTGTTTTTAAAATACCCAAAGTCGTGTTGTTTTGATTGTTTAAGTAAATTTTAAGGTAGATTTAGTGTGATTTCGAGAATACCGTGATTTGTTCTTTAATGAAGTTATTTTTGGTTTAATCACTACGTAGGTTTTTTTTAATTGTTTTTTTTTTATATTTGATTATCACTTCTGGTTGCTAAAATCAGAAGTGGGATAGGATTTCGCTCACAAATAAGCCTTTTAAACAACCGTTAATTTTAGAATAAGTCGCCACGTGCTACCCGTGACCGGTCAATTAGGACGCCGTCACCTCGCTCTCATATTTAGGGTAGCCGTCAAAAGCTGTTTCTAATGTGTTATTTCCTTATGTTAAAGATGCGCGCGTGATATGTTGGCTTGCGTGCGGTGTGAGGCAAGTGTGTGCCTTGCTGGTTGAAACGGACTGCCAATGTGGTGCGGTCATTCTGTGTTCCTGAGGCCAGCAACCTTGAGAAGCGGGCCTCGGCAGACGTGCATCCTGTTCGCGTGGCGGGTGCTGTCCCGGAAGATGTGTTTTTTGAACACATCAGGCGCAGTCCTGGTTCACGTTACTAACGTGGGAACTTGTACAAGTTCAAGTATGTGAATGTGTAAAGTTGTGGTAGTGTGATTTTGTATGAGGGCCTTGGATGCGTGATGTATGATAGACTAGGCACTAACGAAATGTCGTCGTGATTAACTAACAGTATAACTTTTGCACAGATTGCGATGACGAATACCCTGATGACGTTGGTGAGCCTTCAGCTGCGTGTACTGATCCTTCAGCTTCCTCAAGAACACACGAACCACAATATATTGGTGACTATGGCGAGCAAGATGCCGTTCTCCTGAAGAAGAGATCACCAGTGCATCCGAGGACGGTGCACGGTCAGGAGAAGCCGTATAAGCATGTATGTAAGTATTTTAATTGTAT